GACTTTGACAAGGGCCAAATTGTGCTACTGTAGCTCAAGCAAAGTTAATGCTGGTTCTGATAGAAAGGTGTCAGAAAACACAGTCCATCACAGTTTGTTGGTATGGGACTGCAGAACATTGTGACCACCAGGGTGCCCAGGTACTCAGAATGATCGGTGTATTTTGGCATGTCCGTCAGGAGCTGAATGACCCTGGATTAAGAATTACACTATATGGACAAAAGTATTGGCCACCTGACCGTTACACCAACAGGGACTAAAAAGACATTATATTCAAATACATCTACATTAATATGGAGTTGGCTATAACAGCTTCCACTCTACTTTTCACAAGATTTTGGAGTGTTTCTGTGTGAATTTGGGCCCATTCATTCTGTAGAGCATTTATGAGTTCAGGCACTGATGTTAGATGAGAAAGCCTGGCTCGCAATCTGTGTTCCAGTTCATCCCAAAGGTGCTCCATGGGGCTCTGTGCAGGCCAGACAAGTTCTTCCACACCGAACTCATCAAACCATGTCTTTATAGACCTTGCTTTGTGTGCTGGGGCACAGTCATGTTGGAACAGAAAAGGGCCTTCCGCAAACTGTTGCCACAAAGTTGGAAGCATAGTATTGTCCAAAATGTATTAGTATGCTGAAGCATTCACATAACCCTTCACTGGAGATAAGGGGCCTAGTCCACCAAACTTCACAGTTGGCACAATGCAGTCAGGCAGGTAACGTTCTTCCGGCATCTGCCAAACCCAGACTCGACCACCTGACAGCCAAACAGAGAAGCGTGATTCGTCACTCCCCAGAACATGTTTCCACTGCTCCACAGTCCAGTGACGATGCGCTTCACACCACTCCATCCGACGCTTGGCATTGGACTTGGTGATGTAAGGCTTGCATGCAGCTGCTCGGCCATGGAAACCCATTCCATGAAGCTCACACCGCATAGTTTTTGTGCTCACATTAATACCAGTGAAAGTTCAAAACTCTTAGGCTATGGAATCAGCAGAGCGTTGGCGACTTTTACGCACCATGCGCCTTAGCAGTCGTTGACCCTGCTCTATAATTTTACGGTCTGAGTTGCTATTGTTCCTAAACGCTTCCACTTTCTAATAATATAACTTACAGTTGACCGTGGAATATCCAGCACGGATGATTTCACGAACCGTCTTATTGCAAAGGTGGCATCCTATCACAGTACCATGCTTGAAGTCACTGAGCTCTTCAGAACAACCCATTTTGCATCACAAATGTTTGCAAATGGAGACTGCATGGCTAGGTGCTTGACTTTATACACCTGTGGGTCTGATTGAAACACCTGAATTCAAGAATTAACAGGTGTGGCCAAATACTTTTGCCCATATAGTGTAAGTGTTTTTTTTAACGTAGTACATGATAATATCGTATATCGTCCCATCCCTAGCTGTCTGACTGTCCATCATAATTAAACTAATGACATGATTCTGAGTCACATTGAGCAATATAAAAAAAAATCAATATATACAACCAACAAAGGAAGTAATGTAATGTAGTAATAATGTAGTAAGTAATGTGCAAATATGGCAGTGATGTTGTCAGATAAGTCCAGTGCTGATGTAGAGATTGTGAGTCTGTGCCGTAGGGTGCAAGTGGCAGATAGAATGAGGAGCCGTGAGAGGGGTTGTTTATGAGGGATAAGGCCTGAGGAAACAAGCTGTGGAGGTGGTGTGCGTGTGTGGTCCCGGTTTTTAGGGCTCTCATTGTCAGCTGAGAATGAGAATCAGCCATGGTGAGTTTGGTCAATGATTTTCTCTGCAGGCCGTGCAGCAAGCTGTAGTCTTTGAATGCAGCGATGCAGAGTCAGAGGGGGATTGAAGAGGTGTTAATGGATTCATTACTGCATTGTAAAACTAGACCGGCAGCCCATGTTTAGCTCACAATCATTGGTGTGGAGAGTGAGTACAGAACACAGCCCTGTGAGGTGGTGGTGCTGAGGTATAGTGGTTTTAAAATGTGGTCATGGACAAACTCCTTCATTTTGTAAAGGAAGTAGTGAATTCACTGGCAGATAGGAGTGGAGACACTGAGGTGCATGGGTTTTTAGTGACAGAAGTGAAAGCAGAGCAGTATGTGGGCATAGTATGTTGTGATGGTCAGTGTTGTACAAGTTCACAAGAGTTCAGTACACACAGATTGAAATGAATTAGACCCTGTTCACTGTTCACAATTTTTTAATTTTAAAGAATGGGCAGTTCACGGTCATTTCTTCAAATTATTTTTTAAATAGCTTTACAAAATAGTGGGAGTTTGACTTGTTTGGAGGAACTTTGCATCTGTTGGTTGTGGTCTTACTGTTTGTTAAAGCTGCAGTAGGTAATAAAAAAAAACAAAAGAAGCTTTTTGTCATATTTGCTGAAACGTTCACTATATCCTGACAGTAGTACATGAGACACATAATCTGTGATCATCAGGTTCCTCTGGCTCCTCCTAGTGCCTAGCACTTGCCTCAGTCAAGCTTCGTTAAACCGTTTACAGTTAGTACAAAATGCAGCCGCCAGACTTTTAACCAGAACCAGCCGTCGGTCCCACATTACTCCTGTTCTTGCATCCCTTCATTGGCTTCCGGTAAAATTCAGAATCAATTATAAGATCTTACTGATTACATATAAGGCACTTCATGACCTTGCCCCCGTTACATTTCAGACCTCCTTGTTCCTCATTCCACTCCTCGGCCACTTCACTCCTCAAATCTCTGCCTTTTATCCGTTCCACGCTCTACCTGTAAA